TAGTAATCAATGACGTATCTCGCAAATTCTGGTCGTTGTGGGTTTAGAAGGGATGGAACGTACGGCCTGTGACGATATTCAATTGGGGTTTTGCTTTTTTCTAAATTAAAACGTACGTAATAAATAAAAAGATGCTGAACTGTTGTTTTCATTAAAGATTCTTTGGAACTTACTGAATTGTAGTAGAGACCTTTTTGTCTTTGATAAGATTTCCAAGTTTTCGGGAATATAGGATTGAAGTCGAAATTTTTTTCTGATATTTGTTGGCAATGGCACACATTAAGATCGTTGAAGTATGAACGGAAAAAAATCAAATGAAATATGCATTAAGGCATGCCTTTCTTCACGGATCACTGGTACATCGCAAACCTTGAATCCCACACCAATCAAAAAAACAAGCTGCGCGTACGTGGCACATAATCTTCTTATGCCCAAACTCTTTAACCTCTTCAGCTCAACAAATCTTTCTGACTTATCAAAATTTCGTAGGATTACATCGGTTTTCTCTTTATAGTATTTCGCCACCTTATATGAGTCGCAGGCAACGCGAATCAATATTAAAAAAGTTGTCAAATATGTTGTGAGCGAGGGTGATCTGGAGAATATGGAAATCAGATAAAAGATAATGATCTTGAGAAGGAAATTCCTTTCTTTTTGGTTCTGGAAGACCATATTCAAGTCGATTGGAAAAAAAAAAAAAAATGAAAAAAAACAAGTTTTTAAGTGGGTGTGATAAAAAGATCGAAGAAATAAATAAAGTTTTCCTCAGGCGCATTTTTTTTTTTTGAGCTTGTTTGCTGTCCAATCGGAAAATTTTTCGATGAAACTTACGCACGCGTGGCTACTGATTCTGAGTTTACTGAATTAACAAACTTGGTAAATTGATCTTTACCCTTCTTGGTCTAAAACAATGGCGCAGTTTAAGAACACTAGGCCAAAACAGGACATAGAGTGAAAGTTTGTTAAATCACTAAAAAAAAAAAAAAAAAAAATGTCACGTGAAAAGATGTAGATAATCCCATTACGTAATGTTTTTTTGAATTTTTAATCCCGGTGAACTTTTTATCAGGAAAATAAAGGAATTATGGGTGTAACTTTGCATGAACCGTTCGAGATTGAACAAAAAACAATAAACATTGAAAGTCAAAATCATTTGTTTAATGTTGGCATAACCATACCTATAGAGATTGAGGTGGAAAAATCGACAGCGCTATCAGTTGGCAAGAATAAGGAGAATGGAAAATTTGTCCAAAAGAATGGATGGAAACCAGAAAAATTGAATGAAAATAGAGAAAGCGATGAAGATAGCGAGGAGACGAGTGACAATGATGAGAGTTGTAGCGAAGAGGAAAAGGATAGTGAACTGATGAGTGGTGTTGGTGAATCGGTGAAGGACGAAGATGGTGAAAATTCTTCTGACGACGAAGATGATGACAGGAATGACGAATTTGCAGAAAAGGTCCTTGTTACATACCAAGGATTTGGCATCTCTTTATATAATGCAAGTATATCTTCTAATTGTGAAAGGAATCGTGATTGATCGATCTGACTAAATTTATGCGTGATTCATCAGGCCGATGGGCGTCAGCTGTTGAATTGGCCGATTCCACCTCAGTACACCTTGGTCGCACCAGCAAAGTGTCTAATAAAAAATGGCAGATGCCTAGTATATGCTGTCATCCATAGTGGTGGCACGCAAGAAAACTCGGACAAAGTGGTCTGGTTGTGGCAAGACCTTCGTCCAACGTTTGGAGCAAAGGATTTTCGGGATAACGTTGAAAATGTCAAGAGGGTGTGTAGGTCGTTTCACAATTTATTCTTAAATTTTACGTTGATCTCGAACCGATCCTTATTATTATTTCCTCTCGGCCGGTTTGAAAAGGTGGGAGAATTTGAGAGGTCAATATTTTCATTGGAAATATCTCCACTACTGTCGGAAGCGGTTGTTTTGATAAACCAGGATGGATCGGTTTCTCTGGTTGACGCTAACCTGAAGCGAGTAATATCGCATTGTCCTCGGAAAGATAAAGGGTGCACTTTTTTCTCTTTTTTAAAGAACTTTTTTTTTCTTTTTTTCTCACAAACATCGGATAATTTTTGTTGATCTTTCGTCATGTTTATAGAAACAAGAAAGTTTATTGGGCCACCTTGTTCAACACAAATGGCTCCTTCATTCCTTCCAATATATTACCGGCAACCTCAATAACGGTTTTAAATATTTTGTCATCAAAATCGGAATCCAAAGATGCGCTACCTCCGAATTTCTTTCATCTAAGGCTTTGTTGGATCGATACTCTGACAAAACGATGCAAAATACTTTGCAATACACAGTTTCAAATGGTATCACTTCCCTTTTCTCAATTATCAGTCTTTGCTTTGCTCGGCACGACATGAATTAATTTTTTTTTTTTTTTTCTCCCGCAGAACTTGCCTTCAACGTTTAATTTCAATCCTTCAACTGGCAAATTGTTTCTATTATGTAAAGTAATTATTAAGTATCTATTGCAAATTGCGTTGTAACTAGTCATCATGGTGGCTGATGTGATTTACATTACATAGTTTCTCACGGTGTGCTGAAAATATATACAATCAACCTTGGCTGGAAAGAATCAGGAGCCAAGATATCTTTATCCGAAAATATCGTCATTCATCTGGGTGGAATCTTGTCATTTCCTGAAAAGTCACATCTGGCGCTTCACGAAAGGCACGCCGTTGAAATTGCACCTCTGACGGAATCCTATGTAGCACTTGTGGGAAGGCGAAAGACCCCTGAATCGGGTAACCCCTGTTTTATTATTATTATTATTATTATTATTAGAAGCGGTGGGACGAGTGAAATAATAATTTTGGAAATTTTAAGTCGAACAAGTTTTAACGGTATGGGATATCCAGTATGGGACGGTGCAAGCCGATCGAGTGCTTAGTAAGTCGAGCTCAAGTAGACATGTCAATGCTACATCCACATTTCCCTATCGATTTCAGGCAAGTTTTCACATTTTGAGCAGCATGCTTCAACGCATTTTTCCAGAAGATGTTAACCAACCACTTTTATTTATGACTTACGTTAGCTCATTGTTGAACCGAAACATCATTTGATAGCATCCTCATTCTGCGAGATGACCCCTGACAAAGTTAAATTGTCAAACTATCTTTGCCGTTACAATTGCGAACCGATGACTTTGTTGAGTGCGATAAATCGTATGAATCGTACGGCCGAGTATTTAGACTTGGGCAAAGGGAGCAATCGAGGAATCGGCATCACAAAATATGCGATACATCCCAATGCAGAGAGTGTATGCGTTTTACCTGTATCATCATCATTATCGACTCTGTTTACCAACCTCTACGTGTCTTACGTTCTTTATGCAGCCAAAAAATTCCGTCGCTGACGAACTAATTAAAGATGCGAAACTTTTGCAGAAGGAGGAATCCAAAATTCTCCGAAAACTTTTAAATATCAGGAAAACACCGACAACTCAAGAATTCACAAGAAGATTTAAGAAATATGTGAAGAAGAAAGGTTGGGAAGATTTTAATTATTTTTTGTCGGAAAAAGTTGGCGTCAAGTACGAAGAATATGTGAAGTACATGAAAGATTATGGAGAACACAAGAAGATCGGTATTTCCAAAGGAAAATCTAATCGCATATGGAAAAGAGAATCTAAAAGTGATTCCGAGGATCATGAAGAACTGATGAATTTGCAAGAATGGCGAGAATTGTGGAAGGAATGGGAGGTTGAGAAGGACGCGGCAAGAAAATCCGAATGCACTTTACGAAAGTTGTACGAATTCATCATCGTGGGTCTTGCTTTCCAACTTTTCATCCATTCGCATGTGTTCTTTTCTTCCTTGCTAAATAATGATGTTTTCCTTTTCACGCTTTTTGGTTCACTTATTTAGTCCAAAGAGAAAATAATCCCGGAGTTATCATATCATTTCGTTAAAACCATCGTGGAACATTGTATATCACAATATCCGGACGGTAAGCCCAATATGACGTTTTGGGCACCCGAGGTCATAAGTGACCTTATTCGACAAAATGTGATGTCAAATAGCATCGTAAAAGGTGGAATCGTTAAGGCGTTGATAGATCGAGAAGAATGGGTAAGCAAGCAAGCAATCATTTGTACACACCGGAATTCTTGTCACCTCATGGATCCCAGAGTTTCACACTATTTACCTTCTACTAATTGATTATTTGCAATGTGACAGGGCATGCTTAATTTGGCTCTCTTATGTATTCCCGATATTCCCGAGAGAGATCTAATACATCTACTAAAGTTTGTAATTTCAAAAGGGGGAGTAAGAAAGGAGACGGTTAATCCATCCGGGGAGATCAAGAAAGAAACACTGACTGTTGAGAACGTTCTTTTGTTAATTATTCACGCACCGCGGAACGAAAACATGATGAGGTGGAATATACGTCAGTTGACGGAGAGCGAATTAATTGTGATATTGAAAATTTTGTGCGAATGGAGTGCGAGGCATACTCTCACGGAGATAATAGCTGACACGATGAGCAAAAAACCGGTTGACGTTGACGATTTCAGAAATCCTAAAAATCAATCGCCAATCAATAAATTGAAGAAGCTCAAGAAAAGGATAGATTTTCGTAGTGTAAGAGACCAAGTTTTTTTTTTTTTCATGATCAAAATACTTTGAATTCTAATGATAATTTATTTTTGTTGTTTTTTTAAATATAGATTATCGAATTCCTGACACTCATCCTGGACATACATTTCGCATCATTCATCATGAACAAACAGTTTCATTCACTTCTTGGCGATTTATCGGATCGTATAAATCATGAGGTAGAAATTTTCGAATCCATGGAATCCATGAGATCATGCCTTGAACTTTATCACAAAAGACACCTAAAGAACGAGCGTCTAATAAAGAAGGAACCATTTGTCACGAGATCGAATGTTCTTTCGAGGGATGCCGATCTTCCAGAGTATACCGTGGAGCTGTTTACATTTTTTGGTGACAACCACCGAAATCCGAGATTGGAAGAAATCGATATGATAGATGAAAGTGTGATCGGAAACGGCGTTCCGATTTCCGATTCTGTTTATACGATAAATGGGGAAATGTATCACGGAGACGTGAACGTCGAAGATGAAAGCATAGTGTTTGAAAATGGCGAAATCCCAAGCTTGGCGGTGTAGGATTGGAACGTGAATTTGATTAAAAAAAAAAAAAAGGTCGTTTCTTAACATGAAAATGACCTTACACCTCAAAAACCCGTGCGAATTGGTTTCCAATTAATTTATGCATTCGAGATATATTTTTATGCAATAAAAAAAAATTTTTATTAAAAAATATATATCATTTAAAATTCACAATAATACTGATATACAGTAAATCAGAGATCAAGGTGTTGAGTGTTGATTATGTCAAAAAAACAATACAAAAACAAACCCTGATCCATAATCCATTTACCATATCTTTTATCGAACAACGTTATTGTTAATTTATTTACTTTGATATAAAAAAAGTTTATTGTAATCAAATTTCATCTCGGTTAAAAGTGAACCAAGAATTTACTACACGTGGTATATAAGATAGTGATATAAAATATAGAAATGTTAAATAAAACTATCGTACGTCGCGGTGTATAGCACACCACGACGTACGGTAGATTAGTAAGTATACTATTTAAAAAAAAAAAGAAAGATAACCAATAAAAAGTGTATGCCCACAGAGAAGTACTAAAACTATCGTAAATTAAATTGGGATAAGAGATGAGTAATTGCACACAGCAGAACGTTTTTTACTTAATCAATCCGTATAAGGTATCTCAGTAAAGCATCGGTGAATTGCGTAAATCATACAGCGACAACTGGTAATTGACACGTAGGCATATGTGTCAATCGTTGTCGCAGTATGACTTACGAAACTCACCGCTACTGTATCCAAGGTAGATTATAGAATAACTCGAGTAAAAAACGCAGAGTTGTGAACTCATTGAAACCCAGAAAAATCAAATATTTCATCAAAAAAATCAAGCCTTTGACTTGATGTTTCTTGTGGAGGAGTTATAAACATCGTGGTTTCTCCAGTTTCTAGAGGGTACGTAAATGAAGGAGTTTTATTGTTTTCTGGTACTTGATGCCACGCATCGTTGAAAGGGGTTGGAATCTCATTGTTTTCTGGTACTTGATGCCACGCATCGTAGAATGTAGTTTGAATCCCATTATTTTCGTAAATTTCGATCGGTTCTCTGTTCTCCAGAAAATTTTGCTGTTCCTGGTTATACGAAGTATTATATGATATTGGGTTGTAGGCTCCATGGTTTAATAAATCACTATACGTAATTAGGTCGCAAGGGTCGTAAGTCTCCTGGTTAAATAAACTATTATATGTTGTTGGATCGAAAAATGTTGGCGTTTGGTCTATAGTGGAAATTCCTGCATTGGGCGCAGCGGGGGCTGAAGATTGTTCGGGGAATAAAGGTATATTAGTGTATCGGTGGTCCTCTCTCGGATCCATAATAAAGTCATTTTTAGAAGGGGTGTCCTCCAGTTCGTTGGTTTGGTCGGAAGTCGGCGACATTTGAACTGAATAAGAATCTTCAGGGCTTGATGATAGTTCAGGGCTCGAAAGACCTGCCTTTTTTTTGCATGGTTTAAATTTATAATCGGGATATTGCACTTTATGATATAATTCGGCTAACTTTGATATCTCTTCAAAGAGAGCTGAGACATGTGATCCCTTTAATTTTTTCCACTCGTTGGCCGCGTCTTTGGACACAGCTTCTATTTTCGTGGCTTCTTTTTTCTGGCGCAGACCTTCTTCATAATTCTTTCTGAAAATCATGAATTTGTTAAGTGGTCTTGAAGGGTGTTCTTTCTTTTTTTTCATGTAGTTTTTCGTTCTTCGGGAACCTGGCGACGTTTTGATTAACTCGTCAAGATTATATATGGTGTAGCCAATTCTTTCTATTTCTTTTAAAACTTTTTCATGTTGTCGCTGAAGCGCTTTCTTCCGAGATGTACGGGAATCAGAGGTTTTATATGTTTCATTTGTCTCAACAGAAAAATGATAATGCATATTATATGAAAAATTTCGGTAGGTGTTATTGCGAGTGGAAAAGTGAATGTCTCAGCTCTGATTTCCAAAGTAAATTGAAAGGACAACATATAAATAGCCGTCAGAAATTTTTCCGGTGAAACATCACATCAGCTTGTGACCGAAGCAAATCCATTTGATACACTTCTGCTTTAGTTTTTTTATGCAATCGAGCTGCGTGATTTCCACTTGCGGAAATAAAAGCAAGTTACACCGACATTCGGGAATGGAAACACTTGACCAAACTAAATCCAAATCCGTAACGTCTGTACGCCTTCTCAAAATTTATACGCGACAAATGATAAATTGGTGGTTCCAAAGAGAGGCACCAGACCAGTGTCCATGTTACAAAAGTGAGTACGTATGCACATACGTAAGATTTTATTAGGCTTTTAAAAAAAAAAGATTCGTAAACACACGTAACACGTATTTACGTGTGAAAAATAATTAGACTATCAAATGATGACTGCGGTGAGCGGCGTCCCGATAAATTGAGGCTTTGTGAAAACTATTGTACCCTCTGCATCTTTTTTGAATCCTGTAAGAACAAGAATGTCGCTCAATGAAGAGTGACGTAAAAAGATAACTGATTTCATTCTGCTTACGACTGACCAACGAGTTTATTATCCAATAGCATTTTTTGTTTACTTCCCTTTGAGATAATCAATGTTATTTTTAAAAATCATAAAGTAGACTCGCGAATCTGCATAGATTTGCATTGCGGAATCAACCGTCTGTACGGTACGGTATATTTGATAAAATTGCGATGGAATTCTGTAACATTAAAAACGCGACGGAAATTTGGGAATATTAGATAGCATTAGGACTCGATGAAGACAATAAATAAATTGAACACGGATGATTTTATCCTCGATGGCGTAACCAATGATATGCGAGAAAAACGTATTAATAAAATCATGTCACTTGCGCATCTAGAGAAATGATGGTGTATATAATTTTTGAGATACATATACAGGTACTGTATATACAGTATATATACAGTCAAAAGAAAAAAAAAAAAAAAAACATAATAATGATCAATTAATTAATTTTAAAATAAGATGAATAGGGACATTAAATTCCAGCAATTGATTTACTTCTTAATCATTAATTGTCAAAAGACAATACTTGCCATTTTTATATGGGAACATTTTTTAATGACCAATTGGAGTATGTGAAAATTGTTAATATGCAAATGGAAATATCACTAAACGTTGGAATTTTCTCCCCCACCCATTATTGAAGTTTACAAAAAAGGCGATAGGTATAATTAACTATTGTGATGACGTTTTTCCGATATGTACTAAATATACTGGAATATACTATCAAGCAAAATTGCTCTTTTCCCTTTTTACATCTAGGAATTATTCATTAAATTATCAAAAGACATGCAAAACGACGATGAATATGAATGGACGAACAACAAAAGAAGGGAATCTTCTGAGGACGCTGAAACACCAACAGGTACGCATGTGCTCTTGGAAATTCGGTGCCATTACAAAACGAATTTAATGTCTTTCTTCGTTTTGCATATGAAAGAGGCCACAAAGAATGCATCCAGGCTTGCTCCTTCGGTGTATGGCGAGGATGAAAATAGTTTCAACAAAGCTCATCTAAGTCATATCTTTTTCGAACCCATCGCAAGAGAAAAATACAAAATGTCGGAAACCGACCACGATTTTTGCCTTCTGTTTCGACCAACTCCACGTCTATTCTCGATCTGTATCAATAGAATGAGGGATGAAGTGGTGATTCCGCTTGATCAGATACTAAGTTGTAAATTCATTGATCCGAGGAATATTGCGTTAAAGCTAAAACCGGGTTATACGCGAGCGGTTGGTATTAATCGCATGTTCTCCACGCATTCATTTATTCATGAAAACTTTATTATTATTTATATCAGTACTATTCGCATGTCAAAGGGTTCCCTTATAAGAATGAACCTCTGTTGCGAAACAGCGATCCGTCAAATGGCTTGCTCTCGGAAACTAATGATGTTATTCTGAGAGCCTATGGTGGAAAAGCTTTTGATTTTCTTTCGAATCAAAGTTTTGTTACCCGAGAAGTGATAGACAAAGGAAGAACCAATCAATCGCAAGGTGATGGTAATGCAAAGGTAGGTTTTCTGCAAGTAAACTCATCTCAAATTTTCAAACACATACATACGTTTGTCGAAATTTTAGCCATTCCAGCCAAATGTAAACAACAACTCTCATTCGACACCCGTCAATGATCAAGGCTCTCGTTTTGAAATTCCGATCGAAGACAAGGGTAGATGATTGATATATCAATTTTTATCAAGAGAAATGTCATCGGAAATGGTTTGATTTGTTGATACCTCAATTTAAAAATAGATCCCACGAACGTTCGCAGGCCACCAAATCTGGTAATGCCACCTCCTCATCCGTCACAGGTGTCAAAGAACACAACATTGCAATCCTCAAATTTCCAAAGTTTTTCCAGTTTAAAAACTCCACAGAATTTTATCAATTCAGCAAAGCCGTCAGTCTCCAAAAGTACGACAAATGTTCAATTGCCACCTTCTAATTCTGTATACCAGTTGAACCACACGCCAAAGACAAGTTCATTTCAAAACTCACATCACGAAGAGGTAATAATATCCTTGAGAATTCATGCCTCACAGTAAAAAAGAATACACTGCACATACTTGATACTTAAGTTCTCTGCAAAAAATCCAGCTTTACATCACATGCACTTTTCCTACTGAAAGGCGTGCGATCCTATATTCCATTGAGGGTTCATACTACCATCTTTGTTTTCGCATCAAAGATAAATTTAAAAAAACTTGGGATAAAGCCTGGTATAAGTCTAAAGAAAAAAGTGGTGACTGGTTACCCCTGGAAGACGAAAATGACTGGAAAATGGCCAAATTAACGAGAAAAAAAATCAAAGGGTATATTAGAATCGAAATTTATTTGAGATGACCGACTCAAGTCTACCCGAGATGAGCATTTGATCAAGTGGCATACGTCCCATCCCTGTAAATACGGCATTCAGATATTTATTATTCTATTCCAATAAAGAATCAAGAGGGATATTGAATGTACCAGTGTATCATAAAAACATTGGACTGCAAACATTTGCACGTGCATCATGTCCTTGCTCGTTATTACAATTAAAATGTACTATATCATGATAATTAATGCTTTTTGTCCATGAAATTAGAATGACCCAACTTGCCTCGATATTTTTAATTCCAGTGAGAACCGAAATAAATATAAAGTTGCTGAATAAGCTGAGATGCTTGATTTCAATGTTTCATGCAATAATCAATTTGTTTAATAGTATTCACTGAAAAAAAAAAAGTCATTTAGCCTTTACGTTTGATCAAAAATCTCCTGCGTGATTATTTGGTGTTCATTCGATCGGCCTTTACCTTCTGCACATTAGGAACTTTATTGTCTCACCAAAACATTTTACACTTTAACACGTTCTAACGAATTAGTCACGAGATACATTGTTTTATTCTTCTCGATAAATAATAATATATTACTTCTAATTAACTCGTTCATCCCGTAAACCAATGTCATCTTAAGATTTGACATTTCCAAGTACCTAGCATAATGTGGTTCTCTGACCAATTTCGTGACTCGAGATCCCGCTCGGCATTTGACCGTTTCTTCCGGTGATGAATTCATTATATCTATGAACAATGTAATAGGTTATAATTGCAGAGTCGAAATCATTGTTTATCGACACAAATGAAACTGGAAAAGAATTACATTGCATCCAATCTTAAATATTCTTCGGGCGTTGTTGAGGGACGGGTGATCTTCAGTGATTTTTGCATGTGAACATCGTTTATTACTGCCTGTGAGTTGGTTTTTTAAGTTTACCAGTCAGTCTCAACATAAATAAACATATTTAAAATATATAGTGAAAAAAAATACCTTGGACTTGGTCTGCACATTATCTTGACCTCCTTTTACCTTGACAACTTTTTTTGGAAGGGACGCCTTCTTGACCAGTGCAAGCTAAAATGAAAACATGAATAAATAAACCAACAACAGGAAATCAATAAACTATATGCTACTGAGATAATCACCCTTTTTATTATTTGGGTTTTCTCCGCGGCCGTAAAGGTTGTGGCTTTCTTTGATGAATTCATGTTGAAGGACGTGAATCGCAATTCAATATCCTCAGAGATGGTTGTCCTCTTCTCGGAGGACTTTTCGGCATCAATTGTTTCATGAATCGCTTCAAGATGTGCATTATATAATAATGACTGCAGGTCAGCGCCAGAGTATCCTTGACATTTTTCTGCATAAAAGCTTAGATTGACGTCTTCGCCAAGGTCCACTTTTCGCGAAAGAGCTTTCAATATCTATAATTTTACAAAAGAATAATTGAAATATTGTGGAACAATAGATTCGATTGAGAATACAAAAGTAACTGACCTCAAGTCTTTCATTGTAATTGGGCATATTGCAGAATAATGACTTGTCCAAACGTCCGGGTCTCAGTAATGCCGGGTCTAT